CAACGTGCACAGCGTCAACCTCGCGGCCAAGCAGTCCGACCGTCTCAGTAGCAGGCGATGTGCGCAGCGATGATGGAGGCAAATGCACCGCGCTTCCCCTTGCTCCTTGCTCGCCTTTTGGCCAAGGATATCTGCTTGACGAGTCGGTTGCCAGTTGGTGCTTCGACTAACTAAAAATTCCTTCGCTTCAACTACACCATCAACTGACGTTACTCGGACCATATTCCCCTCTAAGATCAGCGAATGGAGAGGTGACAACTCTTGATCAACGGCGCAAGCGTCAGGGAGCACGGAAGGACCCAGGGAAGCTGGGAATACTCTATGTACTGTGGAACGACTAACTAGTCGACTTGCGATTGAAGATACATGATGTACTGGTGTGCGCAGGCCATACAAATATACATATTGCAAAATGTACGTGTACGAATCCATGTACGTTGTACTAGAGATTGCTCTAGTCGATTGGCAACTGAGGTGGGTAGTGTTTAGTTGATTGCATATCTCGTGGAAGCTGGGACGATGGAGGATGGGCTGTACGTTCCGCTGAAGAAGCGTCGCCAGGAAGAAGAAGCGCGACGACTGCAGCGGCGAAAGATCGTCCATGAGAAGCTCCGCCAAGTGGATGGCGAAGAGAGCGACGAAGCGCCCGAGGCGAACGACGAGGCGCCGGGCCTCCAGCGGGACGAGGTGCTCGAGGCCGCGCCCGCGCGCTCGACCATGAGCTTGATTGACCAGTCGTTCGAGATGAAGAAGCGGCGCGAGGAAGCTGGCGTCGACGAAGACATTCGTGTGCAGACGACGTCCGAGGTCCAGCTCTTGCACGAAGCGTCGCAGGTGCAGAAGGCGGCGCTTGTCTCGGCGGCCGAGCGCGCCGAGGGCATTCGGTACACCGAGTCGATGACGACGACATGGACGCCGCCTCGCCACATTGCGCGCATGACCGAGGACGACTGCGAGAACGTCCGGAAGAAGTGGCACATCCTCGTCGACGGCGACGACATCCCGCCGCCGATCAAGTCGTTTGCCGACATGCGCTTCCCGCCCGCGATACTGGCGGCGCTCAAGGCCAAGAACATTGTGCGGCCGACGCCGATCCAGGTGCAGGCGATCCCGTGCATTCTCTCAGGTCGTGACATCATTGGCATTGCGTTCACGGGCAGCGGCAAGACCATGACGTTCACGCTACCGCTCGTGCTGCGAGCGCTCGAGCAAGAAGTCAAGATGCCCATTGTGGCCCGCGAAGGGCCGTTCGGCGTCATCCTCGGGCCGTCGCGCGAGCTCATGCGGCAGACGTTTGAGATCGTCCAGCACTTCACCTCGGCGCTCTTCAAGGGCGGGTACGCTCACTCCTCGTCGGAAGGTGGATATGAGCATCATGTAGGTTTCCAGAGCTGCGCAGCATCCTCTGCATCGGCGGCCAAGACAAGCGCGAGCAGCTCGACCTGATCTTCAAGGCGGGCGTCCACATCGTCGTGGCCACGCCCGGTCGCCTCAAGGACTTTCTCAACTCGAAAAGATGAATCTGGATCTGTGCGAGTACATTTGCTTGGACGAAGGCGACCGGATGCTCGACCTCGGCTTTGACGAAGAGGTCGCGGCGATCTTCAACCACTTCAAGTCCCAGCGCCAGACGTTGCTCTTCTCGGCGACCATGCCGCAGAAGTTCCAGGACTTCGCCAAACAAGTGTACGCAATCCGAATCCGAATCTGAATCTGAACCTTGGATAGGCTCGTGCGCCCGATCCTTGTCAACGTCGGTCGCGCCGGCGCCGCCAACTTGGATGTCCTCCAGGAAGTCGAGTACGTCAAGCAAGAGGCCAAGATCGTGTACCTCCTCGAGTGTCTCCAGAAGACGGCGCCGCCCGTGCTCATCTTTTGCGAGCGGAAGGGCGACGTCGACGACATCCACGAGTACCTCTTGCTCAAGGGCGTCGCGGCCGTCTCGATCCACGGCGGGAAGGACCAGGTCGAGCGCAATGCAGCGATCGACGCGTTTAAAGTCGGCGCCAAAGACGTGCTCGTGGCCACGGACATTGCCGCGAAAGGCCTCGACTTCCCCGACATCCAGCACGTCATCAACTTTGACATGCCGACCGAGATTGAAAACTACGTCCATCGCATCGGGCGCACGGGCCGCTGCGGCAAGACGGGCGTCGCGACGACCTTTATCAACAAGAACGTGCCCGAGAGCGCGCTCCTCGACCTCAAGCACCTCCTCGTCGAGGCCAAGCAGCGCGTGCCACCCGTGCTCCGCGCGCTTGAAGACCCGATGGAGACGTCGCAGGCCAACGCGACGGGCTCGAAGGGCTGTGCCTTCTGCGGCGGCCTCGGCCATCGCATCACCGACTGCCCGAAGCTCGACGCCAACGCCCGCAAGATCAACGCGGGCCGGCGCGACTACCTTGGCGGCCAGAGCGCCGGCTACGGCGGCGATAACATGGGCTAATCGCATGCATGGATATGATGCTGTGTTATGCTACTTTAGTTGAGCACCTTGCCGAGCACGCGGCGGCAGAGGCACCACCAGCCACCGGCCGAGACGACGCCAGCGGGGAAGAAGGGCATCGCGAGGAGGCGCTCGAGGGGCATGAGGTACCCGGACGGGAAGAGGACCAGGGGTGCGTTCCAGTACAAGGCGACGATGAACACGAGGCACGCCGGCTGCACGTACTTGACGAGCGGCGAGACCGTGAACCGCGCCATGCGCTCCATCGCCAACGTCTGCTCCTGCTTCTTGATCGTGTTCATTTGCCGCGTGATCTTGGAGTGCTCGACAAACATGTCGACCGAGTTGAGCTTCTTGGCTTGGAGCGAGAGGAGCGCATGCTCCTTCTGGAGGCGAAGCTCGTCGGCGCCGGGGCGCTCACCGCGGTGCGAGTAGTAGTGCATGCTTGCCTCGACGAGGACGCAGAGGAGCGTGAGCAGGAGGAGGCTCGGCGCGTCGAGCTCTTCCACGAGTCGGAGGCCCATATCGGTCGACACGAAGCAAAAATGAAAATGAAATTAGGACCACATCCTATTTTGAAAATAGGCTTTTGGACTTTGGCCCACGGCAACGTTAAACGTTAAACAGGTTAAACAACGCACAAGGCTGCTCGCAGCAGTCTCTCCATGGCCACTGGTAGTGCGACTTGTCCGTGAAGGGACCTGAGCTTCTTGGGTCCGTGGCGGTGTGCTATTCAGGCTTCAGCTGCTGGTTGGCCCCTAACGAACGGGCGTTGGCGAGTTGTGAGCTAAAAGTTATGCTCAGCTCCGCCCTTTCCGGCGTCTCAAGCGGTCGATCGATGCGGTGCATTTAGGGCCAGAAACATCCAAGCCGCAGTCGCTGCATCGCATAGGCTTAGTACGTACGAGAATGCAAGTGACCATCGATCACCGAAAACGTGTCAAGTTGAAACAAAAAGCAGGAGGCAAGATGGCGTGGCGTCGGGTGTAGTGATTCAAGCGATAAGCCATCGTTTAAAGAACGCGGCTTGGATCGAAAACTATGCTGAGAGAGTATAACGCGATCTTTGGTGTTCGAATCGGGCGGGAACTCGAGCTCAAACATGCAACTCGACTCGCCGTCGTCACTGTTAACGAGGTGCAAGTGCGACAGCGTGTTTCCAGCCGCATCGAGAATGTCGTCGACCAGGGGGCTTTGGTTGACGCGACTACAGCAGCAGCGGTTCGTGCTCCGCGTCGCAAAGACGTTGCCGTCGCACCGGTCAATGTCCGAGTACAACGTGGTACACATCGTAGCACTTGGCGCCGTCGCGAGCAAAAGTCTTGCGCACGAGCTCCGAGACGTCGATTCTCGTGAGATGGCACTGTTCAGAGCGGGCATCTCAGACCGCATGCGACTTGCATCGGTCAACCGCGTCGCCCCCACCGGCGCCACCGAGGTCCTTGTGAGCGATATCGATCAATCATGAACACGCTTGATTGTTCCAGACGATGCGATACGCTGTTGTTGAGGACTCAACAATTCCCGCTCTTGGGCAGGTCGCGCGGTAGTAGGTCAGAGCTGCGAAGACCTCTGCGAACTGATGCCTTTGATACTAGGCATGGGTCAATCAATGAAGACGAGGAAGTCATCGATGCAGAAGCGTGCTCTCGACACAACCTTGAGCCGTCGCTCGCTTGTGTAATGGGCGCTCGTAGGCCAGGACGGGGCGCGGTGCTTGTCGACTTATCGCACGAGAAAGGAAGGAACTTCCAGGCATATATTCTCCACAAAACTAACGGTCTGGGTTCGGTCTTTACCCATGAGCAATCACGAATCCTGCACACCATATTGGGACAAACAAGCACCTGCTTTGGGCTATATCAGATATATGCGCCGTTGCAAAGTCCCATCTTTTTTACAGTCAGTAAAACCCATTCTAATGGTGTAAATCCCACAATGTCCCAAAAACCCATTGAAGGAAACTTGCCGAACACGCGGCATGATAACCAACGCGTGATCACACATGTGGTACCAGATGGCGGTTGATTGCTCTTCCAAATGAACGGCGGCGGCGCCTTTGGTCGCTGCGTACCGTTTACACAACAGTTCAAGTCCTAAAACGTCGAAAATGCGATGCTCTAAGCTGTTTGCAGAACTAGCACCAGCTTAGCGCGCGCCTTGTGCAAGCGACGACGTCATGGCCGCAGTAGCGTCGACCCGCTGTGTGGTGGTCGTGCGCTGATAATGTTACCCACCCGCAATAACTCATCAATTGCTAACCCCTTGCCAGCTGGGTTTGGATTATGGGCGTCAAGCGTCTTCCGAAAGCATAGCAATTCGCATATGAAGTACTTGAGCACTTGAACCAACCAATCGTCGTACGTGATTGTCTGGTAATTGTACGCTTTGTGGGAATCAGAGCGATCGTAATGAAACGCTCGTCATCCATACAAAACGCGAGATGTTTGGCGGCCTCGGACCGAGCTGGCTCCTCCAGAAGCTCGGAAACACGGCGCCGATCGTGATAACGCAGAGGTCATTTCCGAATCTGCCGTCAATGACGCACCCGTCCCCGACCACCGCGCTCTCCGCGCAGGAGAAGAAGATCCGCCGGCGCGTGCAGTGCAAGATGAACATGCGCTGCTACCGCGAGCGGCGGAAGCGCAACGTGTCCAACCTCGAGGACGCGATCGCGACGCTCCATGCGCAGATCGACGCACTCGCCGCGCAGAAGCGGGCGCTCGAGGTGCATCGGCCGCTGTCGTTCTACGCCGAGCACTCGGCGCCGATGGCGCTCACGATGCAGTACAAGAACATGATGTCGCAAGGCGGCTTTGGCCCGACGCAGGAGGCCTTCTTCCGATCGACCTTCTCGCCTGACTTCATGGCCCACGGCCGGACGCTGGATAACTTTATCAGCATGTGGTATCGCGTCGGCCAGTTCTTTGCGCAGCCCAACCCGCTTCTGGCCATGGCGCCCGTCCGCGCCAACATCGTGCGCTTCGAGGTCTCGCTGCACGTCGAAATCACACGGCCATTGCTTGAGGCGTGCTTCGGCTACATCCTCGGACACGAGGACGAGGCCACGATCGACGTGCTCGCGGGCGGCGGCTACGCGATGGACACGATCATGGAGCGCATCTTCTACTTTGACCAGCTCGAAGACGGACGCTACGTGATTGCGGGGTCGTCCTGCGGCGACAACCGCGCGGCCGTCATGGCGTCGCTCGTTGCGCATGCGCGGGAAACGGCGCGCGCCAAGGCCCCCGGCGTGCTCTCGATAACACATTTGCTGCATGTAAGTTAAGTTGGTACGGTAATGCGTGAGTTGTTGATGTACGATCGCCTTGCGTGAACATCGTTTGACGTTTACGCACATTTGACTGTCGCACAGATGCGTGGCTATGGCAGATCGTGTTAGCACGACAGGCTCGCGCGTGTCACGAGGTAGTGGACTCGGCCTTGACCAGTCAGCGGCCTCCGAGCGCCATCGTCATCACTGGATCAGGCTCACTCGAAGGCCAGTGCTCAAAGACGCCGCATCGACGCGAAATCAAGGGCAGCTGCTTTCGCCGAACCGCGACGCCGGCGCGTCTACAAAATTACATGCCGGTAATGACACGTGTCCTCAAGCCTCGAGCGATCCAAGGAGGCAAGAAGCGACTTTGATGGCCTCTGGATCGCAGGTTCTACGTGACGCCATGCTCACCCTCAAGTCATTGATGTCTTTGTGAATCAAATAGGCTGCTATAAGGCCGATCACTCTTATTCTTTCTTGCGCTATTCTTCTCGCGTGTCCGCGTTGGCGCCATTCCCAGGCGAGCGTGTTGCGATCCTCTGCGTCAAACCTTCGACGACGTGATTGGCTCACTCGTATTTCTTTTTGACCAATCACAATGTGTCCCATAGATCCACTAAGATCCGGATACGAACAAGGGTGACTAACGTACACCATTTACCGACAAACTACCTGACAGAAAGAGTCCTGTCGGTTTGCTATAGGCCAAGCCGCAAGCGATGCATTGAAAGTATATGCTTGCAGCTTAACGAGAGAGACTGTACTCCTAGGAGCAATGCACGTAAGCTGTCGCTGGAGCTTTACCGCGTGAAGGCCTGTGCCGTCGACTATAAATAACACTATTCTACGTCGAAATGGTGCAGCGGGCATGCACTATGATTGGCCAAAATGGTGCAATTACCCGCCATTGAGCGCCGTGGGCCGATGCCATTGGTTGAAATAAATGGGGCTAATTTTACCCATGCCAAGTGGCATTAAGCCGACGTCGCTACATGCTGCCGATCCTTGGGTTCGGGTCATCGCAGAAACGGAAGCCCAGCTACGACGCCGAAGCCGCTTGGAAGACGACGCCTGTCTCTGCCTCTATGCACTGGTACGACCGCACGACTGTGCGCTACGCGCTCCTCGCCATGCTCGGCCTTGCGCTCTTCCTCTCGGTGGCCACGACCGTGCCATCGGCGATTGCAGTCTCGTCGTCGCACTTTCGCCGGCCTAGCTACACGCCGTCGCCGCCATTGATCGACTACAAGCACCTGCCGACGTCGTTCGAGTTTGGCATGGTCGCGGACCTGGACAAGCAGAGCCGTGTCAAGGGCGACGCCAAACCTCGCTTCGAGTCCATCTTCCAGCGAGCGATTCTCAAGCGCCATGTGGACGGCAGCGACGGGAGTCGCTCCA